CATTTCTGACAGCCCTACTTGCAATTGTGGTCACGCCTTTGAAGACTCTTATAAACTGCCCCTTACATTCTGATATACAATCTGGAACAATAACCAAACTTCCACATTTTATCAAAATCCTCGAAATCTATTATCTGAAACTGAAGACCTAAAAAAATTCTGAAGAATATTTTTTCTGTAGTCCATAACTTCCTCGACATCTCCCAAAGATTCTAAGAGATTCTGAATGAATGAATGAAATGCTAAACTTTTGATTGTGGTTTATGTACATGTCATGTATTGTATTTTTATGGAGAAGGTGTTCTCAAATACAGTTTCTGTGAATAAATGTCTACAGGTAATCTGTAACATGTGGACGGATGAGATGTTTATCTTACTATGCCCTTTTACGTCACATTATTCAAAGCACTGCTAGCTATAGATTAATTTGTCAAAAATGAAATTTGTTATTTATTTTATATACATTGTAATTGGATGTGATATAATGCTATATACAGGCAAGAAGAACGATAAATATTACCATTTTATATCCATTGTATTAACCGGGTGGCTCTCAATGGAATATTAAATCTCTAGAATTCAAAGCATCGCTTTTTTATGCATACCAATACATGTATCAATAGAGCTTATATGAATACATGTTCCTAAAGTAACGACCGCGGGATTTTACAACATCTAGACGTTGCTAGAATGATCTGCAATTCCCGAACTTATAGCTACGTTACCTCCCTTTAACGCAGACACGTGAACGATAGCGTCCAATCAGAGGTGACACAAACACGATCAAATCAAACATGGCGACCCCCACGGAAACTTTGACATTGAACGAACCCTGAACTTTGCAACTCGATTATCACAGGTAGATATTTTAGCTGGAATGCGCAAGACTTCGTGTTAAATTATGCAGGGTATTACGCGAAGGACTTGATCAAATGTACTGAGTTAAAGCGAGATCAAGCTTTCTATATTCTTCGGGGGGTGGATGGCTGAATGGTTAGCACGTGCGCGCTGTATCATAAGGTCTGTCATTGAGTCAACTGGCGTGGTTTCGAATCCCGGTTGTACGTGACAAGGTCCAACTTCGTGGGTTTTCTCCGGGTCCTCCGGTTTCCTCCCACTGTTAAAGACCCCTACGCGCAAGCGCCACACACACACACAAATATACAAGACATATCTACGGACAAGATACAATATACAGACACCACAAACAACAAACGTATATATCAGATGCAAATTAAACGATATAAAGTAAAGACATGCGCCATTTTCCAGACGAGTGATTCAATACAGGTCATGAGTGATATGATAAACATGACACTGCATACTGCATGCTTAAAAACACGATTATCCGGATACTATAGGGATTCGATTATTAAGTACATAAATACCCGGATGGCTAGTGGGCACTTTTAATGTAAAACTCTACATTTAAATTCTGAATGTTTGTAACACCCCTTTACTTTACCGCTACTGCTTCCTTAATTGTTAAAAGTTGGTTATTTAAGCAATATCCACCCAAGAAATCCATTTGAAACGAGAATGAAAGATTATTCGTAGCGAATTGTAACTAATGAACTAAGATTAAAATCTTGGTTTTTTAACATTCACTACTATTCGCCCACATTTCTCATTAGTGTACACATAACACCAACACATTTATACATATTAACGCCATTTATGCTATTACAACACTTACAAATCAAACATTCAAAATTATACTCGTTGACCTTTTTTCTTTTTTTTTTACTATTATATACTGTCTTGGAACAAAACGTACCACCGAAACGGGACGCCAAGTTTACTTTGCTGGCATTGCTAACCGGAAGTCGGGTATTTATATTGGGTATAGACATTGATAAACTAGACAAAATGACGAATTCTTAAAAAAAATATCCAAGTTCTCAACGCGCTTGATTTCGCATAACGGTTGAATAGAACACACACTTCATATTAAAATTACTTAAAGTCACGTTCTTCTGTAATGAAACGACTTACCGTGGGTTGTTCGTTAAGTTCCCCTTACGAGTTAATTGGAAGTACAAACAACATCACACGTTGGGCACTAACATAGATTGATACTTTAATACTAGAAAGTGCTCAGCCTATACGAGTCTATTAATAGAATGGCCTCGCTCAGTAGAAACAAACTTGCGGCTATAGAATGGTGGTGAATGGCAGTCAATGTTTTGGCGGTTTTTTTTTTAACTTTTGGTGATTTGCGAGCGCATAAAATCATAATATTTACAGATTCCACGTATTTTTGATGCTAAACTACATTTAAGGCAGGACACTACCTTATAAAACACTGTATAAATTGATCTGTCAAATTTTGAAATCAGCTAAAATTACACAATATAGTCAAAATTTGTCGTGTCCAGCCTTTATATTGTATATTGTTAAATATTTGGTCATTTACCGGGTGACACAAAAAAAAGCGTTCATCACCTAAACTTGAATAACGAAGAGGGGTCGTCAGGGACCTCCAGTGGTTCCAGCAGGATGGTGCCACCCCCCACACCTCAAACGAATCATTGGCATGGCTACAGCAGCGTTTCCCTGACCGACTGATCAGCCGCAGGTGTGACCCCGAGTGGTCGCCGCATTCACCGGACTTGAACACCCCAGATTTTTATCTGTTGGGATACCTTAAGGACAGGGTGTATGGCAACAACCCCCAGACTATCCCTGATCTGAAGGCAGCAATCACAGCAGCAATAAAAGCGATCCCAAGGGAAGAATGTGTGAGGGTCATCGAGAACTTTTCCCGTCGGATCCAAATGTGCTTGCAGCACCGGGGAGCTAATTTAGAGCACATTTTTTTAGCACCAGTTAAACAAAGTTTTTGTGGTACAGACTTGAAACTTTAGAGATGTCTGCTGCATAGACTTAACCTAATATAGCTGAATTTTTGTGTTAATCAAATAAAATTTTGGAAGTTATTCGATTTTTATTGATGAACGTTTTTTTGTGTCACCCTGTATATAGGTATATCAAACTTTTAACTTGCTTTTTTCTACACAGTATACTTATTTTGTTACCCATTTTATGAGGTCTTGGAAAATTTAATTCTCAAAATCTATGCAAGATAATAGTCTCGTCTTTGGGATACGATTAGTGCTATAGCTACTGTGTGCAATAAGGCGATTTTCAAAGGTTTACGAGTACCTTTCCGAAATTATTAATTTTATCTTTACTTGTGCGTATGTCTATAACCACAATCGTTTCACTCCCAAAGTCATAGCATGTCCTGAGTTTCGGAACATGATCAGTATCTTCACTTCGAATAAAGCCGAGTTCGCCTGTCCGATCGTTAAAATCTCCAATAACCACAACATCACTAACTGGCTACTTATTTTTAATCTCATAAACAACAGCTTCGACTAATTCAATACCACAGTGCACATCTTTATTATTGTAGTAAACTGACCTCTCTGGTGGAATGAACACAGCACCAATAATCAGATTTTTTTCGCATCCAAGATTTGTTAGATATTTTTAACCATATATACTCTTTAAAAAAAGGGGGGATATTCAGAAACAATACAAAACTGCGGAAATCCACTGCTGTTTTTATTAGAGGTAACCAGTGTATGTTAATAACAGGTCAATTGCCTACACATGAACATAAACAGTTCATATGGACGGCTTATCTGACGGCCCCATTTCACTCGCAAAGAGGCATTCACCTAATCAACCGTCCAATCACGATTTGGGACAATCTGACCCACTCATCTTGCAGTGCCACGGCCAATTCTTGCAGTGTTGTCGGTTGACGTTGACGAACACGTCTCCCGATCATGTCCTAGACATGCTCTATAGGGGAAAGGTCAGGACTCATGGCTGGCCAAGGCATATGGACAATATGGTGACACTGGAGGTAGTCATTTACGACACGAGCGCGGTGGGCACGGGCATTATGATCTTGAAAGATGAAACGTCGACTTGCACGTTGAGCAAAGGGCAGAACTATCGGTGCCAGGATGTGGTCACGGTAGTACACACCAGTGACCCTTCCTTGAACAATATGCAAGTCCGTTCTGCCAGTACACGTCTGACATTAACGTTAGCATGACGCTCATTTGCACGCCCCCAAACGCGAGCACGCCTATCGGTGAAATCCAGAGTAAATCTGGACTCATCTGAGAACATTAGACGCGCTCATCGACAATTACCCCAATTTCTACGCTGTCTACACCATTGACGCCTGTTTGCCAACACGCGGTCTTCGCGCATGCAAATGAGCTGCATGTAGCCGATTTCTAATCGTTTGGGGTGTAACTCGAATTCCTGTAACTTGGTACAAGTTTACAGAAAGCTGATTGGCCGTTGTCCTCGATTTCGCAGGACCCGTTTACGAATGTATCGATCCTGGGCTTGTGTAGTGGCTCCAGGACGACCTGAACGAGGTCTATCATCAACATTGTGTGTGTTTGGTACCGGTTCTACAGTCTGCTGATCACAGACTGTGACACATTAAGAATGCCAATAGCACGTAGACGTTCATCATGTTGAAGACGTCTCATTGCAAATTAAAAGAGAGGGAAATGGGGTTTAACGTCCACTCGACAAAAACTAGGTCATTTCCGGACTAACACACGGTTCATTTTTATTTCAATAATTCGCTTGCGCTTTTATTTCAATAATTCGCTTGCGCTTTTATTTCAATAATTCGCATGCGCTTTTTTTTCAATAATTCGCTTGGGCTTTTATTTCAATAATTCGCTTGTGCGTAGGGGTCTTTAGCAGTGGGAGGAAACCGGAGGACCCGGAGAAAACCCACGAGGTTGGTCAGGCGACCCTACCCCTTGTCACGTACATTGAAAATTAAACGTAACACACTAAAGCAAAGATACGCTAAAGTAATCGGTAAATAGTTCACTAAAATCATCTTGCGGTTTATGAAAAGTTTTGTAGGGGGTCAAGTTATTGTAGCAAAGATGACCACACAAGGGTTCAGTTCTAATGATTTATTTATTCTATGATAGTAAAACAAATCCTTGAAAGTCAGGTCTGTAACTAGGGGTGGGGGAGGGCTGCAAAAAGTTTCGCACCCCCCCCACCCTGTGAAAGATTTGTCGACCATAAAAACAATAGATATACATTGTCCGTCAATTTTACAGCACCCCCGAGAACACTTCCACACCCCTTCGTTGCTCTGAGCTAGTTACGGCCCTGCTGAAAGTATACAAATAGAAACAGTGAGTAACAAGGCTATACAAGTAATATAAAAGCATATACACATAGTTATGATGTAAAATAATATATTACATATTTAATTTAAAAGCTAGTAAACTGTTACATTGATTCTGATAAGCAGTTCTCAATACCCTGTATGAATTGTACATACTAGTAGGCTACTCTTAATTGTTATAAAGCTAATTTATAAAATACAATAACATCTTACCCCGAAAAGGGTTTTTCCTGGCTAATCAGACTTGCAAAAAGGTGAAGTACATTTATAAAGTCTGTAATAAAATATAAGTTGTGTGAAAAAGTAATAAATGTATATTTAAAACGAAATATAAGTTGTGTGAAAAGGTAATAAATGTATATTTAAAGCGAAATGCTTTAAATAGCGTTAAAATTATTAACTATATGCGATGTATTTGGAGAATGCATTTAACAAAACCAGATTAATATAAACTTCTATGGCAACTTTACTAAAAACTAACATGGCCGCCACTTTAACAAAGACTTAGGAAATATAAAACATCTGAAAGTTAACACACACCTCTGAATTCTACTACTCCAACTTTACTGAAAACAACTGCACCAGATCATATCAAATGTCACAATTATATCAAATTGAAGAATATTCAACTATCAAAACTATAAAACTAAAGACAGACCAAACTTTAAAAGGAGAATGAAAATAGTCCCTGTCCTTCATGAAATCAGTACTAAGAGTGACCATGGTGATGATGTAACAAAACTAAGAACAGTTCAGGTCAAAGTTGAAATAAACTATCAGTGAACTCGAACTAACTGGATACCTTTCAGAAGAGTGTATAGAACAGGATAGTTTAAAGATGCAGTGATGTGTAAATTAGCATTGTGACGATATTAAAATACCCATAAATTAAATAAAACCACTTTACTGCAATCGTCTATATTACTCCTTAATTTAGAATGCATGCCTTCTATATTCTAAGAAACTACCTTTAAACTGGATGGTCCTAAATGATTTCTGTACTGTGCCGATTTACCGATGATAAACAAGGTTGCTTTTGGCTTCTTTTAACTTTGGTATTAGAGCCCTACGAATGCTTCTCACCCGACTGGAAAAATCTTCCCCTATTCCAATCTGAGAATTCACAGCTGACTTCACATATTTACGACCAGTACCCAAAACCAAGTCTCTATCCTTTAGACGATTAAAACTCACTAGTATTGATCGAGGGTTACTGTCTGTTCCAGGCGACACTACGACTCGAAAATTGCTTACTATTTCTTCAATTTTTAATTAAAATGGTTAAAACTTCACGACCTACCTTGAATTGTCACCCCATTACTTTCTTCGTCGAACCTTAACGTTTATAAATTCGATAAAATCCTTTATTCTCTTGTAAATTTCACATTTTTCGACACTAATCAATTTCTCAGAACATAAACATTATCACTGCGCTTGCGTAAGTTGGGTCACTCGTATATCAGGTAGGGGTATAAAGTATTCCACAAATCGGGTGCATTCGGTTAATAATATTTATGCGGGAGGATTCGCCCGTTTGTTTTGCGGCAATGCAAGGGGTGTTGGTGTGCGTAAGTGTGTGTGTGTGTGTGTAGGTTTATTTGGTTACCGGTATTTTAATATTCCTTAGAGATATTCATAGTATTGCATGTCTCCTAAAATATTCCTCACAGAACACTTATTTTCAGCATTAGATGGCATGGTAACCTTTCTGATAAAGTGTAAATTTGTACGATATCTTATAATTTTATGGACTTAAAATAGTTTTGATTAACGGTATCTATTTTTATTTATATTTGCGTTCCAAAGGCACACAAGATTTGTTTCAGATATTGTCGTAGAGCAGATAGAAAAAAATGAATCGTAGAAAATATAATTCCTTGAATAATGGATCATCCTTTCATCACATGCATTTGGAAGTTGACGATGCTGTGTGTATATAAGAAGGTGGGTACTTTAATTTTAGCACAAGAAAAGGCCTTTGTCGCCCGAAGAAACACCAATTTTAAAATCAAAGACGTTAAGCGTCTGTTTCTGGAGGCCAAGGTTAGTGTGACAACTAGACTGGGCTAAGTAATGTCAACACGTCATAGACAAGGTGGAGGATCGGTTTTGGGAAGCTAGAAGATTGAATGAGGAAGTACCACCAGTCGTGATTTCGTTCGGGAGTGACAGCGAGTATGAGTGTAAGAGTGAGGATTTGGGCGACAATTTCAGTGGAGAGTGTGATAGTGAAAATGTTGGTGAGAATATTGATGGCTGTGTTGTTGCGAATGAAGATTCGAGTGATGATGATATAAACTGTGTAGTGTATGAGATTATGAGAACCCACCGGGAAGTGAATCGGATGCGATTGTGGATTGGGTGGGCTGTGATTTGTGTGAAAGGTGGATGCATGTGAAAGTACAGGGAAAGAGATTGAAGTAAGCGCAAGTGTGGTGAAGTGTGTAGATATTGTGCATAAATTATCTGATAGATATAGCGTGAATGTAGGCCAGACAACTTCTGTAATATATATTGTATATATAGTCGGGGAATTTTCTGTGAATTTGTGTAAAACAGTTTATTTTCCGTTTTCTTGTTTAAAAGGTAGACTTGCAGAAATTGAATTGAGTTCAAGATGAATCAAAAAGAATACATAAAATGTAAAACAAAAAAAAAACACCCGTGGTCTGAACACACGCATTTACGTGCCCTTGATCTATCAGGAGTTGACACGCCGTTCCGTTTTCTGTCATATTATCACTTGCTTAGGGACATTTCACAAAATCAAACAAGAAAAAGAGTAGGCTATATATACTGAGCGCTATGGAAAACGCATCACTTTTTTTCCCAAATATTTTATTACTAGGTGGTTTTGTATGTATAATATTATGCAATACTATGAACTATTGTTTCACACAATGCTCCCAAACGCAAAAAATATCGGCCCGTGTGCACAAACAATTGCACGAGATGCACATAAAAAAAAAATATTCACATGCAGCATTGTGTGTAAGTCCTGGTTCACAAGCGTTACAACCCAGGCTCAAGACCGCTACATCCGGGTCACTCATCTGCGTGACAGATTCCGCCCAGCGACTCGAACAGGTGCAGCAGTCGTCGGAAGACAAGGACCAGTTAGTGCCAACACCGCAAGACGTCGTCTAAGAGAAGTAGGACTCTGTGCACGACGACCTAATATGGGCGTTTGATATGGGCTCAAGGACACCAGACATGGAGAAGAGTAGACTGGCAAAGTGTGCTCTTCAGTGATGAGAGTCGCTTTCATCTTTATCACGCTGATGGCCGTCAACGTGTGTGGAGACGTCTTGGGGAACGTCTTGCAGACTGCTGCGTCTTCTAAACGAATCGATGGGATGGGGGAAGTGTAATAGTGTGGGGAGGCTTCACATTTCATCACCGAACCGCCCTACACATTTGCAGGGGTCGCGTTAATGCTGTAGCCTACCGTGATGATGTCTTGCAACCAATTGTTGTTCCGATGTTTCGAGCGCACCCACAATGTCAGCACTTCCAATAGGATAATGCACGTCCGCATACCGCCCGTTTTAGTATGGACTACCTGGCTGCTAACAACATCAATGTCTTGGACTGGCCAGCCATGTCTCCGGACATGGCACCGATAGAACATGTCTGGGATGAGATTGGACGCCGTCTGTATCGGAGACCACAGATGCACACCATTGCTGCTTTAGAAGCTGCTCTTGTCCAAGCATGGAGCAATTTGCCCAAGGCCTTCTTTCAAACATTGGTAAATTCCATGGGACGTTGCTGCACAGAGTGCGTAAGAGCACGTGGAGGACACACATCTGTGTCGTACTTTGTACCGTTGATTACAGATTAAACATCCATAAGTGTACAAATGTGTTGTTATTGATGTGTTCCCATTTGAATATTGTTCACAATAAGAAGCAAAATAAATAAGATATGTTTACAGGATCATTTTGTTATACGAAAAACTAAGTGATGCGTTTTCCATGGTATAAAAATACCTTAGGAGCGCCCCCTTACAATTGGATTAAAACTTTTAAAAAAGAAAAGAAAACTCTATCAATATATTGCCAACTATGGTGGTCCACCAAGGTATATATCTTTCTTAAAAGTGCTACAAGACCACGATTTGGCGGTCTGAAAATAGTATTAAAAGTCGTACAAAGCCAAATAAAATCGACAGTTATATATCTATTATTCTAAAGCCAGATAGACAATTCGTTTGAATTGTCATTTAGCCTACTTCCAAATTTCCATGACGTGTCACTACAATATGGAGTCAAACTTTGTATGTAGTTTATATCAATTTCCAAAAGCCACAGGACTGGGGCCGCCAATTAAATATCTATGGCAGTGGAGTAAACAACGGTGGTCTGAAACCAAATAGCAAATTTATATTACCTCCCGTAAATAGCTCATAAAGCAAATTATATTCTACTGAGCCTAAACAACTATTTAAACATGCAAGTAGGACGAAACAACCCCAAGTCAAATCCACACCCCTGTTCGATTTGGTTTATTCCAAATAACTAGGTCAAGCATGGCTGTCTTCATTACCGCGAAAGAAATAAACAACGATTTTTCAAGACAGAAAGGTTATATAGCTTGGTCTGAAATTAGTTAACGTGCGGTAGAAAGTAAAGGGGTGACAATTTCAGGTAGGTCGTTAAATTTTAACCATTTTAATTAAAAATTGAAGAAATAGCAAGCAATTTTCGAGTCGTAGTGTCGCCTGGAACAGACAGTAGGTGAGTTTTTAAACTATTATACCGACATGAGGGGATCAGATGCCAAGGCCTCCAACTAGAACCGCCACTGATAATTGATGTCAATAACATTTATAAGTATTAAATCCAAATAAAGCAAGAGTAATGAAGATAAAAACATGATGTTGATTGACATGTTATTGTTATTATTAGAAAAAAGCATATTATAGGCCTAGAATGGTTAGATCGTGTTTATTTTACTTCGGACGTATTTTCGTCAGTTATTTGCAGCCTAACAAATGTATATTATAAAATTCCAGCGGTTGCCAGGTAAGATACGCCCACATTTGCAAGAGATGGATAGAGAACAAGCTAAAAACATAAGCGTTTTTTCGTACAATCAGGGGCCAAAATCCAGGACGTTACGACCTGATATGTGCGAATATCGAAAGGAACCAAGATCTTTGACACGTATTTCAAGTTTTATCAACATCGGCTCAAAATTTTACACTATTTCCAATGAGGGGCGGCCATTTTGTCCGGCAGTTTTGGTCCGATTTTCACGAAGTTCGAACTCAACCTTCATTACGGTGTAACGGTGATATATTAGAATGTCTTTTTTTAAATCGGGTAAAAATTGTGATCTCTAGAGGGACCACAAGCTAAAAACACGATTTTTCGTACAATCAAGGGCCATAATTCTGGACGTTACGATCCGATATGCGCGAACATCGAAAGGAACCAAGATCTTTGGGTTATAAACACGTAGTTTAAGTTTCATCCAAATCGAGTCAAAATTGTGACCTCTGGAGGGTCCACAACCTTGATATACCATATTTTTTTTACACTATTTGCGTACGTGGGGCTGCCGTTTTGTCCGGCAGTTTTTGTAAGATTTTCACGAAATTCGAACTCAACCGACACTACGGTGTAATGGTGACATATTCAAACGTTTTTTTTTTTTAAATCGGATAATAATTGTGACCTTTAGAGGGACCACA